TTTTTTTTTTTTTTTTGAGACAGGGTCTCACTCTGTCACCTAGGCTGGAGTGCAATGGCCGGCTCACTATAACCTCTGCCTCCCAGGTTCAAGCAATTCTCCTGCGTCAGCCTCCCAACTAGCTGGGATTACAGGCACCTGCCAGCATGCCTGGCATATTTTTGTAATTTTAGTAGAGATGGGATTTTACCATGTTGGCCAGGCTGGTCTCAGAATTCCTGACCACAAGTGATCCGCCCACCTTGGCCTCCCAAAGCGCTAGGATTACAGGTGTGAGCCACTGCACCCAGCCTCAATTTTCTTTAATTCCCGTTTCAAGATGTTTTGGATGACGACTGAATTCCCATACAGTAAATACACAGACATCTCTGATTAAGCACTGAAGGGGTAATCAAGTTATCTTGAGAAATGCCTCCTGTATCAAATGACTTTAAAATCTACTACTAAACAGCTCAGGAAAAATATTATACATTTCCCCAGTACTCCTCTGTGCTTAGTCTAGATGAGGCCTCACAATCTTTTTGAACACAGCAGTCCAGATAAAATGAAGGAGCTGCCATAAAAGTGAAAACCTATTCGTCACCAGTAATCTAGACAAGAGGCTTTTTAGGGAGCTTCTCCTAGCCCACACTGTATAGTCAGTGACACAGGTGAGGGATAAATTCTTTTCACAAGTTTGTCAAAAAATTAAATCTATGACTCAACTCTAATCCTCCCAATAAAACATTTCAACAATGCAGATTTTTAAAAATAGATGTTTATAGCTTTTCCAAATTTGCTTGGTTTAGTATTTCAAAAAAGAAACATCACAATAAATCTTCATGACAACAATTTGATAATGGGTTCTGATCTATACACCAGAAGCACAAGCAATAACAAAAAAATTGATAACTTGAACTTCATCAAAATTAAAACTCCTGTGCTTCAATGGACATGGTGAAAGTGAAAAGACAATTTACAAAATGGGAGAAAATACTTACAAGTCATTTATTTCGTAAGGGTGTAATATCCAGAACATATAAAGAACTCCTGTGACTCAACAACAAAAAGATAACCCAATTAAAAATGCATGAAGGACTTGAACAGACATTTCCTAAAGATCATCCATAAAGAGCCAATAAGCCACATGAAAAGATGATTCACATCATTAGTAATTTGGTGAAAAACAAAAATCAAACCTGCAATGACATACTACTGCACAATTACTAGGATGGCTATTATCAAAAAAACAAGAAACAGTAAGTGTTGACAAGGATGTGGAGAAACTGGAACACTGATATATGCCTGGTGGCAATGTAAATGGTTCAGCCACTATGGAAAACAGTTTGGTGGTTCCTCAAAAAACTAAACACAGAATTACTGACAATTCCACTTCTAGGTATATACCCATAAGAATTGAAGACACGGTCTCAAAGTAATATTTGTATATCAATGTTCACTCCAGCATTATTCACAAAAGCAAAAAAGTAGATACAATGCAAGTGTCCATCAACAGATGAATAGATTTTTTAAATGTGATATGTACAGACAATGGATATTATTCAGTTATAAAAAGGGACACTGTTCTGATACATGCTACAACATGCATGCACCTTGAAGACATTATGGTAAGTAAAATAAGTCAGACCCAAAAGGACAAATATTGTATAATCTCACTTACGTGAGGTATATAGAACTGTCAAATCCATAGCATCAAAAATAGTTGGGCACAGTGGCTCATGCCTGTAACCCTCGCACTTTGGGAGGCTGAGGTGGGTGGATCCCTTAAGCCCAGGAGTTCTAGACCAGCCTGGGCAACACAGCAAGACCTTGTCTCTATAAAAAATAATAAGCCAAGCATGGTGGCTCACACCTGTAATCCTAGCACTTTGGGAGGCCAAGGCAGGTGGATCACCTGAGGTCAGGAGTTCAAGGCTAGCCTGGCCAACATGGCAAAACCCCATCTCTACTAAAAATACAAAAAAATTAGCCAGGTGTGGTGGCAAGGGTCTGTAATCCAGCTACTCGGGAGGTTGAGGTAGGAGAATCACTAGAACCCTCAGCGCAAAGGTTGCAGTGAGCCAAGACAGTGCCATCACACTCCAGCCTGGGTGACACAGCAAGACTCTGTCTCAAAAATAATAAAAATAATAATAATAATAATAATAAATTAGCTGGGTGTGGTGGTCTGTGCCTGAAGCCCCAGCTGCTCAGAAGGCTGAGGTGGGAGGATCGCTTGAGCCCAGGAAGTTGAGTCATGACAGTATGACTGCGCTCCAGCCTGGGCAACGGAGTGAGACCCTGTCTCAAAAAACACCACAGAAATAAATCAGACGTTACCAGGGTTTGGGAGGAGGTGGAATGAGGAGTTACAGCTTAATAGTGACAGTTTCTGTTTGGAGTAATGAACAAGTTTGTGAATAGGGATGAAGGTCACACAACACCGTGAGTGTACTTTTACTTTTTTGTTTTTTTGAGGCGGAGTTTCACTCTTGTTGCCCAGGCTGGAGTGTAATGGCACAATCTCGGCTCACCGCAACCTCCGCCTCCCAGGTTCAACCAATTCTCCTGCCTCAGCCTCCCCAGCAGCTGGGATTACAGGCATGTGCCACGACGCCCAGCTAGTTTTGTATTTTTGGTAGAGATAGGGTTTCTCCATGTTGGTGGGGTTGTTCTCCAACTCCAGGCCTCAGGTGATTCACCCACCTCAGCCTCCCAAAATGCTAAGATTACAGGCATAAGCCACCACGCCCAGCCACCGTGAATGTACTTAATGTCACTGAATTGCACACTTGGAAATGATTAAAATGGCAAATTTTGTATGTGTGTGTGTGTGTGTGTGTGTATATATATATATATATATATGTATACATATATATATATATATATGTATACAATAAATAAATGAAAGTAAACTTAAAGGCATAGAAAAAGACAATAACAAATAAAGAAACATGACAGCTAAACTAATAAAGAAAAATGACACCACATCAGTACCTTTCCACACACTGCCTTCGGGATAGGGTAGGCTGACATCTTCGGTTATGAGCTTCTCGGGCAGCAAGTCTAGCTCCTGACAACTGAAAGAGAGTACAAAACCCACTGAATAAAGTAGGAAGCCTCTCTCATCCCAGAAGAACTTGTAACACATTCTGACATCAAGAGGCCAGAAATTCAACAAATTCAACATGCATTTATTTCAGGGGAAAACAAAACAGTGAAAACTGGGAAAATTCTAGAGCAGCTTGAAACAATATCCAGCATATTAACGCACTGAGAGATAAATGCACATATGTTCACTGGAGCATGATCCACAATAGCAAAAAGGAGACGAGCCAAACATTCACCTTAATGGGTCTGCGGAAGAGTGGTATATAATACTGTTTTTCCATAAACCTAACAAAACTGAAAATTCTCTTGTCAAAGCTTTCAGACACTTCAACTGGAGCTGAGTCCAAGAGGACACCAAGCTCATAACTATATCTCTAAGTGCCTTCATTGGTCATCTAATAGCTGTATAAGGGTCGTTTAATGCAAATGTTCAAAAAAAGTGTTTTTTAACACTTTCTGGAATGATCATGATTTCTCTTTAGTGAGAAATCTATACTGCCCAACAGTGCTATGGACTGAATGTTTGTGCCCCCTAAAATTCATATGTTGAAGCCTTAACCCCAGGGTGATGGTATTTAAGTGAGGGGCCTTTGGGAGGTAATTAGTTCAAGAGGGTAGAGCCTTCAGGAATGAGATTATCGTCCCTCTAAGACAGACAGTGCTTGCTTCCTCTCTCTGGGAAATGAGGATATAATGAAAGGATGGACGTCTGCAAATCAGGAAGAGGGCAGGACCTATACCAGACACTGGATCTGCCAGCATCTTGATCCTGGACTTCCCAGTCTCCAGAACTGTGAGAAACAGATGTCTGTGGTTTAAGCCACACAGCCTATGTTACTTCTGTGACAGAGGCCCAAGCTAAGACAGAAGATCAGCCACTCAATATTACCACTTCAGAGAGTTTAACATGGAATTAAGACTTCGAGACAGTAGTTTAAGATATCAGTAATCAGAGTAGGCATGAAATCCAGTTTTCTGAACCAACAAACATAGTATCTCCATCTCTCTTAAGAGATTTATCTCCTATGTTCAGACTGCATATTTGTTTACACATTCTCAATAAAATTGCCAAATATACCAAAAATAAAAAAATAAATATCAAAAAAGTTGATATACCTTTTCATCTTCCCACTGAAAAAAATTACAGTCTTTTCTATCTCTACAGGCTGAACATGCATAAAACCTCCGAGCTTCTTCTTTCCCTTGGGTTACCTTTACAAACAGAAGAGTGGGTCCTAGTTCCAGAATAAAAAAAAAAAAGTGTCAAATAACGGTCATCTACATCAAGTTACTTTTCACCGCCCTTAAATAAAATTTGTTTGAGCTTTATGCACAATTTATCATAATTAAATTCATCTCTTTGGTTGTTTTTTGCTTTTGTTTGTTTGTTTTGTTTTCTTGAGACAGGGTCTCCCTCTGTCGCCCAGGGCGGAGTGCAGTGGCACGATCATGACTCATTGCAACCTCTACTTCCTAGCCTCAAGCGATCCTCCTGCTTCACCCTCCCGAGTAGCTGGAAGTACAAGCGCCAGTCTCCGGCTGTTTTTATTTTTTGTAGAGACAGGGTATCGCCATTTTTGCCCAGGCTAGTCTCAAGCTCCCAGGCTCAAGCGATCCGCCTGCCTCGGCCTCCCAAAGGGCTGGGACTACAGGCGCACGCCGCCACGCCGACTTCTCTGTTTAATGAATGTTTTTTTCCTCTCTGTTAACATCCTGGCAGTGACTACTTATAAATAATTTTTGAAAACTGGTCTCTCCAGAAATAAAATGCTATTGTCAGTATAGTTGCTGTCTACGTTGTGACTGTTACAAACCTGAGACTAAAACAAGGAGAGGGACTCAGAGAATTGAGGACTTTGACATCTCTTGCGAGGTTACCCTTGCGGTAAAAACCTGAGCTTTGAGCTGGACACGCCCACTTTCTGTAAGTTACAGAAAACTGAGTCTAGTTCCCAGGCAAGAATTACACTCTGTCTTTCTTCCTAATTTTTTATTTTTGAAAGGACAGCAAATCAACAAATGAAATCCCCAAGTACTTGTCCACGAGAACTATTCAATACCATGCATCCTTCTCTTTGCCTAGCGCCCCCTCCAAAAGGGATTAAACAGTCCTGGAGCCAAAATCACAACAGTGGAGACTTGCTCTGAATGTTTTTCAAGGAAACTGAAAAACACCACGTTCCGAGGAAGCAGTATTTTCTAGGAAGCACATGGTGAGGGAAAGAGGCGGATAAACATACACGAGCCCCAAAAGCCACTTCGAAGCCAACTCACACCCTCAGCACCCGGCAGTTAGGCTGAGCCCAGACTCTGACCCACCGTGAGGGCACAGCGGGGCCGGGACGGCGGGACCCGAGGGAAGCACCAGCTCTATTTCCGAGGTCCCTCGGAGCCCTGCGCTGCCCTCTGCCTCCACAGCTTCAAGCCCATCTCTGGGGGCCGCCATCTTCCCGCCGCCGTCCCGAAAGCCTCAGTACGACCCGAGAAAGCTGAGAAAGAGCGCCCCTGCAAGCCACAGAGACCCACAGCGCCCTCACGCGTGTGGAGGAGCTGGCGGGAGTGCGGGGAGGCCGGGGGGGGGGGGGGGGCGCAGCGAAGGGCCCGGCCCCGAAACGCAGTCCCCGCCCACCCAGGGGCTGCACCTAAGCGGCTCCTAGCGGTGGGGCTCGTAAGTCATTCGTGGGACCCGTGCCATGAGCTCAGTGCCTGAAAGCACCCTCTTTTCTTACAAATACAGCCAGGAGGTGAGATGATTTGAACAAAGATTTGGTTGTATTGTAGTTCCAAAAGGCAGCATTACCACCTATGCCAAATAGCTGAAATGGCTGCAGCAGCTGCGACTGATGGACCATTCTTTGTTTTTCAAAGTCACAGCCACTGCATCATCCTCTTATAACTTGGGCGACACTGACAGTTGCACATCATAGTTGCATACTCATTGGCATTTATACATTAGAAAGAAAGAAAACTGTCCTGATTTGCAGATGACGTGATTGTTCACATTTTAAAAATCCCAAAGAATCTATCAGGAAAACACCTCTGGTTTAAACTAAGTTCAGCAAGGTTGCAGGATATGAGATAAACATACAAACATCAATTGGATTTCTAAATACTAGCAATGATCACAAGAACACTAAAATTAAAAATAGAATACCACTTACAATCATTCCAATAAATGAAATAGGTGTAAATCTAACAAAATATGTACAGGGCTTTATGTATACTAAAAACTCCAAAATACTTGATTTAAAAAAAAAAAAAAATCAAGGCTGGGTGCAGTGGCTCACACCTGTAATCCCAGCACTTTGGGAGGGCCAAGGTGGGAGGATTGCTTGAATCCAGGAGTTCAAAACCAGCCTGGGCAACAAAGCGAGACCCTGCTATAAATAAATAATTTTTAAAGTTTTTTTAAAAAGCAAAGAATAACTAAACAAATGCAGAAACATGCTGCATTCATAAATTAGAAGACTTAACACAGTAAATATGTCAGCCCTTTCCAGGTTTAATGCATACAGAGGTTTAGCACAGTTGTTATAAAAATCCCAGCCAGATTTTTTTCTGTAGGTTTAGACAATATTCTGAAATTTATGTGGAAAAGCAAGGGAACTAAAATAGCTAAAAACAATTTTGAAAAAGAATAATGAAGGGAGGAATCGACCTCCTCAATTTCAAATCTTACAGTGCAGTAGTCAAGACGCATCCACGTGTCAGTGGTTGTAGATGAAACAGCCTCCATATTATTTAAAGAACCATTGGGCACGTGCCTGGTTAACATCACACATTGAGTGCTATGGTTTATTAATGTAGAAACATGGCCGTTTTTCTTTCACATTTCATGTAATAGTTTCACTCAAATTCTCCATCTGCACCAGTACCAGTGTCCCCTTTCTTCAAGATGTCCAGCACACATTTCCAGTGTATATTATCTGTGGATGTCTCGTCTTTTGAGATAGAAAACTTTGTACAGCTATGATAATGATACTTTTGGATACTATCTCAAGACCTAACTAGCTGGACACATGTTCTCAGGACTTCTGGAGACAGTGCCTCAGGCAGAATAAAAAATAAAAGACCTAACTACCTACTCATATGAATTCTAGCACTTTTATTTACAAATTTGTTTTAGATGTACACATTTGTGATCTTAAAAGGCTTGTTTATAAAATTTGCAACTGAATTTGTAAACTTATAAAACCAGAGTTACTGAGTCCATATTTTCTCTTTCTCTTTTAAATAATGCTGATTCTGTGAGGCAACCTCTCTAAGCAGCCAAAACCAGTGTAGACGTGCAGCCTTTACAGATAAGCTTCCCCAAACAGTAAAAATACAACAAAGGTTGATCCAAATAAAGTAAATGGGAAGGGCACTGCAAAATGCAAGAGTTGCTGAAGGTTTCAAACATCAGGCCCTTCCCTCTTTCCAGAGGGATAACTTTGGGGAGAAAAAAACCTCACCTTATTTTCAGATAGATAGAGTAAATAATCTGTGCTAAATATTTACTGATGGGGTTACGAATATGACCAATAAGTTATATGTGTTTCATTTAATTTCCTGATAGTGTTTTGAGTCTATACAGGAAAATGCTTGAGTTGAGACATACTGATTCAGCAAGGTTCTGAAAGGAAGTCAGAGACAGAACTGAAAACAGAATTGAGTCCTAAGTGCCAGGGGAGACCTATATTACATTTATCACACAGAGTGTGACCCCGGGCTGCTAAGACTGCTGGGACTCAGCCACTCTCCCATCAGATTGTCTGGTCAAACTGGTGAGCTTTTTAAGAGGCCTGGTAGTCTCCTTCCATGGCTTTATTAATAGAACAAATCAGTGTCTTTTGAAAAACATTCAGTTCCCAAATCTCCGTCAGAGAAAAGATGGTGGGAAGATCAAGAAGATGGCTGAAGCCAGAGGAGCGCTCTGTGGGTGGGTCTCACCATCTTCCCTATCTTCCAGTAACAGGGCCCCAGTTTTCCTTTGGGAAGCCAACCCTCCTGATTTCGGCCTGTGTAGTGTGAGAGGTGTAAAAAATGGCAGGGACTGGCTTGGATTTGGGTAGGTGGCTTGGAGTGTCTGCTGGAATGGCTGAGAAAGAAGGTGTCCTGGTTGGATGTTTTCATCTCAGCGGCATTCATGACGTTGATTTCTCTTGTGTCTGAGGGGTTCAGCTCTCCAATGTTGCCTGGGCTGAGTCACACATCTAGTGGTTGGCTCATCCAGGATTACCTTAACCCGTTTATTTATGCCTGACGTTGCAATTTTTTGACTTTTTGCAATCAGACCTTGGCGATGACCTTGAGCAGATATAAATAACTCCCACATGCTTAGCGTTCCAGTAATGGAACACTAGGCATAAATGGGTTGGGGATGGGACAACTCAGCTCTGCTCTGTGTGTTTCTCCTCCTCCTCCTGGAACCACCAGGACAGCCTGGGAATATCTTTCTCATGGGGATGGCAGGTGCACAAGAGAACTAGCAGACCCAGACAATTTCCGGGAGGCCTGGGCTTGGAATCACACCACTCTCACTTCCATGTCATCGTTTTGGCTCAAGCAAGTCACATGAGCCAAGCATTGCAAAGTTACATGGCAAAGAATGTGATCAGGAAATGGTGAAGAATCAGGGTCCATGACACGATCGACCACATAAGCCTTCTTCACCAGGGCGACGAAGCAGCCAGTGGAAATGCTTCCCACCCCTTGAGGAGCACCTGCCTTAGAAGGAAGCTGAGAAGAAAAAAGCAGAACCGGGAGACAGGAAGGTGTGAGGACACTGCGTGAACACCTAGATCCAGCCATGCCTGAAGCTTTCTGTTACACAAGTCTCATAACTTCCTCGGGGGCTCTATAAGCCAGTTGGAGATGGGGGTTTGTTCTATCACTCACAATCAAGGATGCTGATTAATGCTCTGCGGCTGCAGCCCTAACATTGGATGGATGTATCTGTCCTTGAAGTCCTTTTCCAGTCACGATCAGCTCACTCTGACCTTCTTCCTCCCTGCCACACTCCCTATAGACCTGCCTGCTTTCCTCCCTCTGTCTCTCCTCCCTCCATCCTCTCCCACCTTTGTGGAGGAACCTGGCCTCCTTGCTGACTTTTGTCTTGCTGCTCCAAAGTAAGCACACACACTCACAACTGTTTTTTGTTGTTGTTCTGTTTGAAGGCGAAAGTGATTGGGGAAGACCAGCCACAAGAATAAAACCCACACAGACCCTGCCACAGCAGCCTCTGCTTTCCAGTCAGGATCCCGACACCCCTGCTGAGATGGCCCCACGGCCCCCTTGACTTCTCTCTCTGATTTCCGAGAGTAAAGCTTACCAAACCTTTTCCCAGCCCTGAAAAGTCTCAACTGTGAAAACTTGGCTGGGAAAGGACCTGGATACAAAGGGACTCTGTGTAGCCTTCCTTGGATCTTTGAAAAACAGCGACAACACTGCTGAACCAAACACCCTGAAACTAAGGGCGCTTTCTGATAAGCTATTGAGATTCACTGGTCATTTCTGCTGTGCTGGACAGGAGCCCCCATGCAACGGGCCTTTCGGAAACCAATAAAGACCCGTGGCGTGGGACTCCTGGGACTTCGTCCATCCATATCTCAAGGAGCTGCTCTGTCCCCCATCTCCCTGCCTGAATATGATGCCTCTCTGGCATGAAAGCCGGGAACGAAGTGCAGGAGAGAAAGTGTGTGTGTGTGTGTGTGTGTGTGTGTGTGTGTGTGTGACTACTTCTTGTAAATGCATAGAAATGAAACCTCAAGATAAATAGATCTGTCTGCGTACAATTGCTCCCTCCTGTAATCCCTGCACTTTGGGAGGCTGAGGCAGGCAGAACACTTGAGGTCAGGAGTTGAGATCAGCCTGGCCAACATGGTGAAACCCCATCTCTACTAAAAATATAAAACTTAGCTGGGCATGGTGGCGGGCCCCCTGTAATCTCAGC